TGTAACCGAGGAAGATTGAAAATTTGGAATTATAATCCGAATGACCCATTACATGGAGATGATTGACAATCAAAGACACTATGAGCTTCAGTAAAATTTATTTCACGTCGAGAAATGTTTTCCTACTCCGGTAACGGCTTCGATGGCTCAACGGTAATACCATTCTCCCTGCAGCATTGTTGACTAGAGTTCGAGTTCCGACAGTGATAGTTGCCTCTAGCGACGGAGCTGAGTCGCGTTCAACCTGTAACGTCGTGCCGAGGGGCCAGATGGACAACGCATGTCGGAAGGCCAGCGAGGGGGCGGGGGCGGTCCTTTGGCGGCAAGCGGAAGGCCACCAGAGGTGGGCCCCTTCTCAAGGGCCCGGATGGGCGTGACTCGGAACGTGGGTGTCAACTGGCACAGAGGGAGCTGATGGATGAGTCCAGCCGCGGTGCAGCTGGACTCCAACATTGCAAACAGGCCCACGTTTCGGGATGAGAGGACGCCGCCGGCATGTGAGGTCTGTCACGTGACCCCTCGCGAGGCGGCTGGAGAGCAACCAGCCGTGGGCATTCGAGTTTGAACCGAATCGCGGTGCGGAAGGCACATTTCACCCGCCAGGGGTTATCGCGAGCTTCGGCACCGAGGTGTGGCGGTTGCCACGGGACAAAAGGCCAGGAGCGGCGCCAAGCCGCTGGGGTCTGCGTCAGGCTGGGGCGGGGATGCCTCAGAGATGTACAGTGCTGGGAGTGTAGCGCGTTTCCGAGGAGTATGTGTATTGTGTAATCAAAATTGTAAATAAAACTGTATAATCAACTCCGTGTCTGTGTGTTACTCGCACCCGACGACGCCACAAACCGCTGTTTGGAGGATAATTGTAGTGGCGGCTGCTCTGATAGATAGTTTTCCATGGTTTATCCAATTCGTACTTCAGTAATGTCGGAGGAGTATTCTCAGTCAATGAGTCAAAAAACGCACGATATTTCCTTTATCGCCCTTGTCCCCTCCTCTCCCGTTACACTCACACACACACACACACACACACACACACACACACACATTCACTCACGTGCATTGAATTATCACTTATTTCGGGAGAAGAGTCAGGAGATTAGAGCTTGTCGCGGCTGTAGCTGGGAGATATACCAGGAGGGGGACCCCAGGCGACCGTGTCGATCAGCGCTGCGTCTCATGTTCCATGGAAGAGGAACACCGCCACCTCTTGTGATATAACACTACACTTACAGGACTTCACTTATGATATGTACTTCTCTTCGTGTTATAATAACCGTAGTAGTTGACGCACCTAGAATAATTTATCACTCACCAATCCTCATTCCTGTGTTACGTCAGATAACTAGATAATATCCTATCAGGAAAGTAGAGGAGTGCTTCATTGCGACCCGGAGGATAATGAACTCTGTCAATATAAACCACCATACGTGTTTGTACAATCCATGGGGTCTTGTAGCAACCAAACCTATTCGCAATGAAAATTATCGCTTAATCATTAAAATTGTTAGCTAACAGCAGACAAGAGCAAGTCGTTTTCGAAAATGTGGATGTGCCTAAAAGACTTCTTCAAAAACGTTCACAATAATGCTCTAATACAATGCTAATAAATTAATGATTATTAGTGATACTTATCGATATTTTATTGCATGTTCTTAATAATACAGCTATTTCATTTAACATTTAATAAAACAAAATTCAGAATGTAGAATATCTATTCGTGTATCCCACGTGCATTCTCTTTTCACGTGGCGATATACACAGGTGTTGGGACAGCGTCAAGGGAATCAGGGTCGATTACACCTCTTCAATGTACTCGGAAGGGGAACGTATCGATTCAACTTTGAACAACAAATTGAAACTTTTTGCCGGGAGTTTCCGGATCAAAAAGTAATTTGTCAAGAAAAGTGAAGGAATTATTAAGTTCCAGGAGAATTTTTTTTTCTCCTTGGTTATAGGTTCATGTTTTTTCATGCTCGATATTCATCCATATTATCTATATTTTTAATTTCAAATATACGCATAAACTGCCGGAAAACTAAACAGCCTCTGGCTGTGTGAAGGGTATCAATGGATTCATTAGATTTCTAGAAAGGTTGGAAAATTACAAAACAATGAAATCGTTTCGATTTTGTTTCAAAATGCAAATTTTATTCAGGAATTTCTCACCTCCGATGTTACGACTCTTACTCAGAGCGCCACTGCTTTCGGCACAACTGTCACGCGGCGAGGGAGAAAAAACTTCAGTATTCACGTCTTCTGTATCTGAACATTCAATTTTTTTATGATGGAAATCCCCATTTTCCATGCATGCGACAGCATTTTGCTGCTACAGGCCACTAGTGAATAGGTAACCATTGTTATCTATGCAATTTAGTAGAAATATGAGTAGGAATAGGACCCGTAGCTGTTGCTGACAGCTTAAATGCAACCCGCAACGCAGCTGTGCATGACATTCAATGCAAATTACGTTCTTATTATTTTTATATTATTTTTATTTATCTTCTTTCTAATGTGTGAATCGTAATAAGGAGGCAGTCAAAGGTGTATCTGTATTACTAATATCAAATGAGGGCAGAAATTAAAAGAAATGCAAACTTCCGACCACCTGACCGGTATATATGGTTTTGCCAGATGACGAGGGGCTTGAAAAAAAATAATATAAAAACATCTGTATTATCAACATTTTTCCTACTGGAGGCAACTAGTTGTATCAAACGAGTCAAAGGTATACGATGGAATACTGTTTTTCCAAGTACTAATGATAAATTAATTAAATGTGAATAATAAATTAATTAAGTTATATTTAGAACGTAAGTGAGTAAGAAGGTAATATCACAAAGCACAACCTCCAAAAATTAAATAAAATGGGCGGAAACATGGAATCAAACGACAATAGAGCTTAATTCTAGTAATCTTCATGAAAAAATATTATTTTAAGTTTGTATTTTTTTATTATGTACACATACCCAACGCTCAGAAGTAGGACGTTTCGATATAATGTCAAAATTGGAACTTTTTGGTACGAGTTTCCACGGAAACCATAAAAACACGGAAAGCCTCTTCCCCAGAAACCCATAATAGATTCACAATTATATTTTTTACTATTTTGAGTAAAAATTAAAATTACTCAATATATCACACTATTTAAATGTATAATACTATATTATAATAATTGAAAATTACCAAATAAAATTATTTTTAAATTCAGCAAACATGTACCTTTCTAAATAAGAAAACACTTCAGAAGCCCACTCATCGATAGACTCACTCTCTCCATACAAATGAGGAAATACTGGTTGCGCTACTGAATATTTAATTTCTATAGATCTATAATTTTCTTTCATTTTCTCAATTTACATTTTAATCACCAATTAAATGCATTTTCTAGTTGCTGTGGGCGCCTTTAGACATAAGTGATAGAAAGTAGGAAGGCTTCCATAATTTATTTTTCAACGTCTACATTACTTATTTGGTATCTCAGAAATGAAATGTGTATGTTACTTCACATTTGATCATATTAAACATTAAACTGGATCTTGTTTAAATTATCAGCGATATTTTACATAACGAAAAAAACTGTTTCATTGAATGTACGGCTATTCCAGGGAAACTTACCAAATAAAGCAACATTTAAGGGAAAATTATATTCGAGCGTACCTTTCATACATACTTTTGTTTTGATCCTGAATCATACCCCATACGTAGTGCATGTGTAGCCAATCTTATAAAAGGAAAGGTCAAAAGTCACAAAAACGTTTTTTGCACAATTTGCTTCCTATGAGACGTACGACGCCTCATGTTCTATAAAACTTATAGACCATAAAATTGTATGCAAAGTAGATCTTACTACTTTTTTATTACGGCCAATAGTTTTCAAGATAAAGTTCAAATAACATGGAGGGATCATTTATTGAACTAGGGCATATTTACTGTGCCAGTTTCAAAATCTGTTTCCATTGATAACAACTAATTGTAAACATGTTTTACGTCACATCACTTCAATCATATCACCGGTGTTACCGAAAACCTCATTCACTCTGTAACAAAGTAGCATACTCCTCCCATATTTTGCGAATTATTGAATTTACATTATTATGTAAAATTTTGTACATTAAAATGATAGCTGTCCTTTAGAACATTTGCATTACTGTCGCATAATTATTGTTTGTAATCGGAAATGTACACAAATATAACGTTGGTGCCGTTGAAGAAAGAGTAAATATCGCTGCAAAGGCACCTTCCTAGAAATAGTGTGATGAACAGTCGATGGTGAAATTTCGACTCAAGTAATTGTTTTGCACAGGTGACACACTCTTTACATTCAAGGAAATATTATCTTCCTTTAAATGTATGGAGTGGTGGAATTTTAGGTACTGATAAATGGCCTTTCTGATGTTTTTTTAATATTTCGTTTTTAAGGAGACATTATAAAATATTTTTCCCACTGTGTCTGAATAAGTCCGTTTGTAAATATAAAATAATACTCGTACATGAGGTAGTACGAAATATTACCCTATTTCTTTAGATTTCCCAATAATATGTCTTTAGTTTTATTTTCAGCCTCGCCAATAAATAATGGTGTCCCAAAACTATTAGCTGCTAAAAACAATATAAGAAGAGTATGTATTAGTGAATTATCAAATACTAAGATACATATTATATTTAGGTTACAAACAGTGGGTAATTTTGAATCATATTTATTTAAAAAGTTATGTCGATATTTACTCTGAGAATTGAGTAAATTTTACCGTTCAGTAGTTTAATTTAATGGTCTAATTTGAGTCGACCTGACACCAAAAACCACGTCTTTTCCAAAGGATGTCGCAGACTCGTGGACTAAATCACTGGTTTATGTAGACGTGATTAGTTACACACGAATAATGTGTTACGAAGTGTTTCCCATAATATCCATAAATAATTAATTTTAATGAAGCTTCAAAATAATACAAATTACGCAATGTAATTTAAAAATAATAAAATGTTATATCAAACACATTACTTACAGACTACAAGTTCATCCTGAGCTACACACGCCAAAAACGATGCGAAGAACACCCCCACCGCCAACATTATCTTGTCGTGAGGCCTCATGGTGAAGCTGCGAAAAATATTAGAACACATATTTTTTTAAGAAAGTACAGTTTAAATGTCTATTGAATGAGAATTTTTTTATAGAAACAGAAGTTCATTATTGCAGATATCGAAGGTAAATGGAATGTTTAAGTCTTATCGTCGTTTATAACAAAAATTGGTGAATGGTGGGTACGTATGAATGTATGTATGTATGCATGCGTGGGTGTTTGTTCACCAATAACTACTGAAGCTATTGGCCTCAAATTTTGCACGAATATTTTCGAGCTGCCAAGAAAATACACAATGAGCTCCGAGACCCCAAAATGAAAACCTCAAATTTGCTTACACCTAGAAATTTATTTTAATAGAATTTGCCCCGAATGTTTACCGGGCAGCGGCATTGTTGCTAGGCGTCGTCGAACGAGGCAAGGCAGGGCCAATCAAGGTCAGAGGTGGCGGATCGGGTGGAGCGTAAATAAAATATACCCTCCAAATGCCATCGGATTACTTCAGGAAGTCAATAAACAAATGTATAAACTCAATGAACTTCCCTTCGCTTATAAATACATTTTATTCCATCATTTACTGTACGTTGTTGCACACAATTCAAATCGAAATCATCTAAATTTTATTAGGTTTATTTGAGGAAGACAAGATCAGTAAATAATACAATTCTTAACATTCAACATACCTCTGTTAGTAAATGAATGAATAATTCAAAGATGTTCTATATCACATATTTGTCACATCACATAAGTGTCTTTAATAATTTGAAAACCATCCGTTTAGAGTATTTCATCATAGAAGAAAAATCCCTCTTTGATAGTTTATCAGAGAATTGTAAAACCCATGTTGCAGTTTCAACTCATCAATTTATCAGTAGTATTTGACTTATAACTTTAATATTTTATGAGAAAATTATCATAGGTAATACCACGAGTGCTTTGGAAATTGTCGATAAATTTTCGACTCACGAAGCGAGGAGGGGATTTATCGAAGAAATTTCAAAGCACGGGTGGTATTTAATAGGACTATTCCACGGGTGAAATAATGTCCAGTACAGTTCCAAAATGCGCCAATTATTGAAAATAACTGATAGCGTATTTTAAATTCAGAGGTTATGTTATAGTACGTACGCTGTTTATTTGACATCAACATAGCGATCGAAGTATAACGCCTCATAAGATAAGTGAGACACAGTGTGTGATTTGCCAGTAGACAGAAGCGGTAAGAAAAATCGGATAGAAAAGGCGATATACTTTTTGAGATACACAGCCCTCGTTGGGTCACTTTTGGTTTTAATTTCACGAGTGGAATAGTCATATAAATTAATGTTTAACAAGATGTAAATGAAATTCCTCGATCACTAACAAGACTTTGAGAATGAAAAATATGTGTCGAATCTGAAGACTCAGAGTTAGTGATATTAGACAACAAACGGATTAATTGAAAACATGAAATAGAAGGAACGTCAGTTAACTTCTTAATTTGTGTAGTTAAAAACTATAATTAATTTTATTTAAATGAATGTTGTCGATCTCCGAGTCTTAATCCAATAGTCCGAAAGAAAAGATTTTTTCCATCAATCATTTTTCATTGCAGTCTACACTTGTATTTTATTTTTTTTATTTTTTGACTGTTTCTATAGAGATAATTTGCATGTCACCCCTCTAGATGCCTTAGGCCAGGCAAAATGCTGGTAATTAAATACCAAAAAACAGTTCTTTGCTTTTATTGAATTACATAATGCGAGGAAAATGAACGATGATTTAGATAACTATGATTTAGATAGAAGGTGCTACTCCTAAGTCACAGTCATAAGGTGCAAATATCAATGTCTTCCATACAGGACCAGATTTACCAGTAAGCACAGTGCCTAGGGTCTAAGAACATGAGGGTCCTACGATTTGGCCTCTTAATAAAATGTTGTGCAAGTATATTTCAGAATTAAAAATAAATAAATCACATGTATACAAAATTTTCGTCATGTTAAAAAATTACAATGGTTTTAAATTACAATTTAAACGTAGGTTTGTAAAAGATGGAGAAAAAATTAAAAAAGGAGAGATCTTCAGTTACATCAGACGACATAAACTTCTAATGAATTGTATGATCAGTATTCCTCCAAATTACCTCTTTACTCCAAAAAAGTATAATAATTAGTTTAACACAGTATCATAATTGTTTTCTGAAGTCTCCTAAAAAATTATGTCTATGGCCTACGTCAAGATTAACCCGACCCAGACGGAGAATCAGCACTCGTAACCCTTAGCATTGCGGTTTACTTGAGCGAACCGTTGACGCCGCAAGCGCTTGTGCCATTTAGATCAGCCATTTACATAAGTGAAAAAAACAAGGGTTTAAACAAGTGTCTCTCTCGAAAAATCAAGGAAAGAGATTCTACAATAGGATAAGAAAATTATAAAAACATTTGCATGTAAATCCTCAAATCCTTTGCATTGATTCAAATTTTGGTTCTGACTGGGAAAAGCGCGTATCTAAATTACCCAGCAAAGGTTGTGGGATCGAAAAATTTAGAAGATCCATCGTGGATTTGTGACAGGCAAATCCAGTCAACCACGTGTCAAAATGATAATTTAAAGCATCGTTTATAATTCCATTGTTGGACCGGAAAACGAAGTATCGGTTTCCTTCATCCTGTCATCAATATCACATAGAAAATGCGGTTCGGAAAAGACTTATCAAACTTCTTTCAACTTATGACACAATAAAATTATTATTTAAAATTTCAAGACATTGACATATTTATTCTCCGATAAAAGTACATTTTTTTAAAAATTTTATGCAGATGTAACTGAATGTTAGAAAGATATTACAAGTCAAAATAAGCATAATTGTTTATCATTTCTTTATTGTAAAATACGGCATTCCCAATCTTTAATTTCAAGTACTGTGACATAAGGTACATTAAAATAGAGGAAACTTAAAATAATTTGCCCTAAAGTTTTATTTTGTCTTTCTAGCGACACACATTACCCACTTTTACCCGTTCAGGATACGTGACAGTTTTACTCGAACGGTTTTGAACATTTATTTAGTTAAACTCGAAAGGGTGCACAGACATCCTGTTTTATGTGTCCATGTTCAGCGCGTCTCGTAGTTATGGGAACAGTTTTCACCGGCAAGTGTTTAACAATTACTCTTTTCAGTTTACGTGCACAGGCGTGAAGAATATGTTAACGACAAATCCGTATGTTGAAAAAAATCAGGAGCCAACAATTTGCGTTCGCGGTCACTTCACCCGTGGATTTATGGCCCTAGACCCCCGCGTTTCCCCAAACGTACCCCCAAGTTTTCTTTTATGGTCCCACACATGATGGAAGCACGTGCTTGTTTAACTCGCTCCGTTTCATCCGTTCGAGTAAACACACGCATCTGTGATCTCTATCCGACGGGTACAACTCACGAAAGAAACCCGGCGGCGGGTAATTTTTGCGAGGATTGTGTTCGTGGTTGTCTACCCGGAAGATCCGTGCGCAAAACCCTATTCCGAGTACGACTCTCCACTTTCGACTCTCTGGCAGCAATACGCAATTGCCAAAACGAAAAAAAAATTAAAAAGCGACAGTAGGCAACGGATGGGCTAGGCACCAGAACGGCACAATCAGGAGTTCAAATCAAGAGCCGCAGCAAAATCGCACGCGGGAAACTCAGCGTCTGTGGGCACCTTCAGAAAACAGATGGACACAAACCGTGCAAAATCGGACAAGTAAAGTGGTGAATAGCCGATCCGGTGGCCGAATCACTAAGGCAGTAGTGCCGTAGCGATCTCGGACCGAAGGATCGCGGGTTCGAGTCCCTCCTCGGGCATGGTTGAATTGCGTCCTTTCACCTCTATCATCACATCGTGTCATCCTCACAGTTACCATGCCGTTACAAGCAATAGTGGTCGCTAAAGACCTAGAAATTGATGCGATCTTAAATAACAAAAAAAAAATCGTGACGTATCCCGAACGGGTGTAGGCCACTTTAGGTGCGGAGAAGACGGGTAAGCGCTGAGACGCAACAAATTAAAAAATAAAAAAAATAAAAAAAACTACAGTAAGCAAGGGATGGGCTAGGCACCAGAACTGCACAATCAGGAGTTCAAATCAAGAGACGCAGCAAAATCGCACGCGGGAAACTCAGCGTCTGTGGGCACCTTCAGAAAACAGATGGACACAAACCGTGCAAAATCGGACAAGTAAAGTGGTGAATATCCGATCCGGTGGCCGAGATTACTAAGGCAGTAGTGCCGTAGTGATCTCGGACCGAAGGATCGCGGGTTCGAGTCCCTCCTCGGGCATTGTTGAATTGCGTCCTTTCGCTTCTATCATCATATCGTGTCATCCCCACAGTTACCATGCCGTTACAAGAAATAGTGGTCGCTAAAGACCTAGAAATTGATGCGATCTTAAATACCAAAAAAAAAAAAATCGTGACGTATCCCGAACGGGTGTAGGCCACTTTAGAAGCGGAGAAGACGGAAGCGCGGAGACGCAACAAATTAAAAAATAGAAATCTGTAAGCAAGGGATGGGCTAGGGACCAGACAGGCACAATCAGGAGCTCAAATCAGGAGCCGCAGCAAAATCGCGCGGGTGAAACCAGGCGTCTGTGGGCACCTTCAGAAAGCGCGGAGACTCACCCGGCCAGCGGCGACGAGCGCCTTCTTCCGGTGGCGGTAGGCGGCGCTGTGACCTTCCGCTCGCGCGGCGACGTGTGCCGCGTGGAGGTGTTTGCCCAACAAGGGGTTTCCTAGGTGATGCGCGGCACAAACACGTTCGAATGCTTCTCCACATTCGACGCGCTGGGCAAAACATCGATTCGCTCGGATCGATGCCATTATGAAACAGGACGCCTGTTCGGGGTCAGGCTTTCGAAACAATATGCCGATCGGCGTAGTCTGTGCGTGGGTGTGATGTACCATTATACTGCAAATGCGGTTTAATAGCTCTGGCAAAGCATATGAACAACGTGGATTTCATTGCGATAATTTCATTAACAAATACTTGAAAATCTTTGA